AAATATGCGTTGTAGTCCAAACGAGTCGTTTGTTGTAGTTTTAAAAAAAGTGATTTCTGTTGAATAAAATATCTCCTTTTGAAGTGGACTTTGAGTTTTGTAACTTTGCAGATCTTTTTTATGCTCAAACAGCAACATTACAGACTAACTAAAGTTGAAAAAGTGAAAAAGCATAATAGGACCCCTTTAATTCCACTTCCTTATATCCAAATTTAAATTCTGCATCCTGTTTGTTACATCAAGTCAAATTCAGAGACTGGTTTGAAATTTAAACCACTTCAGATAAACTCAAGTCAGAAATTTTGGTTTCTTTAAAACATAGTATTTTTTGGAAATTATTAAAGATTATTAAGACTTAAGTTTAAAAATCTCCCATTACATTTGCACATTTGCATGATGTGTTGTGAGTAGTCATGCATTTCTTTGCACTGAAAGCGATGTGTGTGTGTTTTGGTTCCCTGTAATCACTCACCGTGATTTCTCCTTCCTGTCTGGCTAATTTATTGTGAATCTGAGATCTACGGATGCAGGAGCAAATCAGGCAGTATGAGAGCCGTAGATGAGGAAACGCATGTGTGTGCATCCATTAGTGTGAACGAACGGATATACAGCAGCTTCCTGTGAGGGACAGTTCGATTATCTCAAGGAAACCATCATGGGACGTCCTGTGTGCTATCAGGAAAGAAAATCACACGTGAGATTGTGTGTGTGTGTGTGTGTGTGTGTGTGTGTGTGTATGTGTGTGTGTGTGTGTGTGTGTCATACTGAAGGGGCATTGACCAGACTGATAGACAACAGCAATACTGTTCATGAGTGAGTGCAGTGTCGCCATGGCAACAAACGGTTATGGGGCGAGTGGATGAACGGTCTCAGACACTGCTTCATATACAGTATGTGTGGTGTGTCTGATCTACAGGACTGCCGGTTCAGTTCTGGTCAGCTCATGCCACTGCAGGATAATGGTGAAATCAGAAATTAAGAAGAACATGCAAGTGCACTGCAAATAATCACTTCTTAAGTTTTTAATAAGTCTTTAATGCCTTGTTTTCCAGTTAAAACATCTAAATTTCAATAAATTTACTTGAGAAGCCACAATCCATGAGATATTAAGTCTTTTCAGAGGATGCATCTTTAATACTCTATGTATGTTTTGCATGTTAGTTTTTTTATTTTTAGTAATATTTTGAACTAGTTTTTATGTTTCCATTTTAATTTTAAATTTAGGTTAAAAAAAAAAAGTGTGTGTGTGTATATGTATATATATATTTGTTTATTTTAGTTTTACTATTAATTATTTTAGTACAATATAAATTAAGTAAAAGTTTTTTTTACATTTTGTTTTATTTAAGTTAATGTTTATTTTGTTTAAAGTAACAAAAATGTTTTTTAATGGTTTTTAGTTTTAGTTAACTACAATAACCCTGCTTCATCAGCAAAATATTTCACTAGTTTTAAGTATAAACAAGTGTAAAAATCTGCCAGTGCAGCAAGACAAAATATAGGCTTACTTATATTCGCAATAAAATAGATGAAAATAACTTATTATTTTTTTGTTAGATATTTTAACTGGAAATAAATCCAGTTTATTTTTTGCAGTGTGTGTGATAAACCTTGACTAAATAACCTATGCTGATACAATTAATAGTTTGTTTTTCAAAAGTATTTCTGTCACATCATATGTTGTGTTTTGGATGATGAGTCTTTACTTAACCAGGTAAATCAGAAAGATCTTGTTGACCAAATCTCATGCGTATTAGTTAGACTGGCTCTAACCAGCATAAACCATGATGGAAATCCATGTTTTGTGTTAATGCACACATTAAACTCACTGAACGTAAAGATCCTGAACCTAAAGGCCCATTTTGTCCCACTGGAAAACTGCTTGCGTCCCGTACGGAGAAAGATTCCCGTCCCTCGTGTTCTCAGCAGTGCTCAGAGACGGCTCTCCTCCATATCGACGTGGGTGTTTTGTTCGGGGTCGATAATCTATAATTAGAGCTGTAGTCTTGTCATCTAATCCACTGGACAGAGGCTGTTTGCAGGACCGGAGAAAAATCACTAAGATTATAGAGCAAATAGAGACTTCTGAGAAAATGAGCCCAAGTAAAGATCTTCAATCTTCTGGGCATATGTCAGAGTTTAATTTCTCTCCCGCGGAATAACAATAAAGCAAAAAGCCATGACAGAAAGGCCTTGTTTTACATTGATTTTATCATGTTTAATGTGTGCTGTCAGGCATGACATGAAGTTATTAATAACTAGAAAATGTGTGATGTGGATGTTGTGGGCATTGCTGTGTGTTGCTAAGATGATCTGGGTGGTTGCTAGGTCATTGCTAGGTATAGTTCTGTGTGACTATAAGTAGTTTCTTACTGTCTCTTTGATGTTCTGGTTGTCTAGTCAGTGTTTAATGTGTATATGTGACCCTTGAGCACAAAAGCAGTGTTAAGTCGCTGGGGTATATTTGTAGCAATAGCCAACAATACATTGCATGGGTCAAAATTATACATTTTTCTTTTATGCCAAAAATCATTAGGATATTAAGTAAAGACCAAGTTCCATTAATACTTTTGTAAATTTCCTACCGTAAATATATCAAAACTTAATGTTTGATTAGTAATATGCATTGCTAAGAACTTCATTTGGACAACTTTAAAGCTGATTTTCTCAATATTTAGATTTTTTTGCTCCCTCAGATTCCAGATTTTCAAATAGTTGTATCTCAGCCAAATATTGTCCTATCCTAACAAACCATACATCAATGGAAAGCTTATTTATTCAGCTTTTTTTTATTCAGATGATGTATAAAACTCAGTTTTGAAAAATTGACCCTTCTGACTGGTTTTGTGCTCCAGGGTCACGTATATTATTTTTGGTTTATTTATTTTTAGTTTTTTTTTTTTTTTGTTCAAATTAAGCTAAAATGAGAATGTTGCTTTGGCAGCTGGCTGCAATAAAATAAAAACATTTTTTAAAATATTTATACATTTTATATATAATTTTTTATTATTATTTTATTTAGTTTTCATGGTTTTAGTTAACAATAACCCTGATTCTAGTTAACAAAATCGGCATTCAATTATTAATGCACATCTAACACCTACAGTAGTCGTCTTGGACAGACACCTTTGATATGATCCCTACACTGAAAAGTTTGCCTGGCAACAAAGACAGAGAAAAGAGATTTAATTCCCACACAAACGCTCTGATTGGCTGTTCCGTTGAATGTCCCAAAACCCTGTCTCTCGTCTTTCACTCTATTGTGTTCCTCTGTATCTGCGTGTGTTAGTGCTTGCTTTTGCTTGTTCTTTTCATCTAATCACCAGCTAATGAATCCTCGTTAAACACAGAACAGTCCAAGCTCATGTTCCGCCTTGATATTCATTATAGGAGAAAGTGCTGACAAAGATGTTTGTGAGTGTGAAAATAGAGCTAAAGAGGAAGAAAACTCTGTGAGTCGACGAGCTTTAGCTTTGCACACGTGGCCAGCAGAGCGTTATATTTCGTCCGCTTGTACATTAAGTCCAATTACACTTTACATGCCCGCTGGGAAGGATTACTGCGCCGTGTCCGTCCACAGACTCTTTCTCCTGCTCTTTACCGACTGAAATTATGTTGCTGTGAAAACAGAGAAATCAAGACGCAAGAGTGTCATTTATCAGTGCGGTGTCATCACTATCAATCACTGTTACTAAACCTGTGTGAATATTACTTTTTACCTTTCCGTGAATCTCTAACACGACCTCGCAGAGGAAATGAGATTCTTCTATTATCATGATGTTAAAGTGAAGAACAAGTGAGCCTGTACTAGAGAAAGATCTTCTAACCAAAATACTTATAATGCATGAAAATAATACATGGAAGTCAAATTAATCATTTTGCTACAATATTACTTTTTTCTTTTTTATTATATGTAATATATATGTGTGTATTTATTTATTACGTTTTTTATTTTTTATTTATTAAACAAAACCTTAGAATACATACTGAGGAATATGAAATCTATATATATATCAATTATTTTATATGTTATTTTTTTATGTTTATACATATGTGTATGTGTGCATGTGTATATAATCATTATATTATATTGTTACATTACAGTATACAGTATATGAACATATATATATATATATGTGTAATATATTTTATAATGTATTTAATATATTTAAATTATATTATTATTGTAAATAAAATTAAAAAACACTCAGTTTCTCTCCTTATTCACCTGTGCATACAGCAGTATAATTTTTATTTTGCACTATGAAATGATTTTTGTTTTCTAATGAAATTGCATTAGCTCTAATAGTTAACTGTTTTTAATATTTTATTATGTAAATGATGCAGTCTAATTTTGTCGTGTAGCTTGTGATGTAACTGCTTTCTCTAAAGGTTAGCTGTCAGTTTAGATTAGCTGTTCTTTTTCTGTAGAGTAGTTGATAGCTGCAGTTTTTGACGCCGCATTAGGTGATAATATAAAAACATCACTCTGTAGAATTTACTGCCTGGGTCGGTGTGTTATGAGAATTATAATGTTTGTGTCAGTAGATAGTTTGTGTAATGTGGTCACGCGGAGGGCTAGCGTGTGCTAGCTCAAGCCTGATATCCCGCTATTCCTCATATGTCTGCGGCTGAGCGCCGTTAGCAGCCAGCTCAGCACTTCCTGCAGGATTCTTATCGAGTTTGTCGAGGAACCGCAGCAGAGCTCACGCTGACAGAGAGATGGTGAGAAAAACAGTGTCAGCAATGCAATTATAACCTTTAATGTGGCATTTGAAGGACAGATTACACCTATACACTTGCTTTTTGTCTCTATTTTCTGGATAATTCCTTTTGAAGACCTTAAAAGGTGCAACCTGATCAGCTTTAGATAAAGCAGTTCATTATGCCAATCAAATCAGGTCTATTTACTGTTTACATGCATTTGGTTTTATTTTGCACAAATCACATGCAAATGCAATGCACATCAGGTAAACTGTTTTTTTTTCTTGTCATTTCAGTTTCCTGCTGGTTTTCTCCTGTCTGGTTCTGTCTGTGTTCTCCACCATCAGAGAATATGAGAAGAGCTCAGAAGACGCCCTCTACATCCTGGTAGGTAACATCACAGAGGTATTGATTTAACACGTGTGCATTGATCACATGCTAACATGACGTCTGTCTGTGTGTTTGTAGGAAATTGTAACCATTGTGGTTTTCGGAGTGGAATACATCGTAAGGATCTGGTCTGCAGGATGTTGCTGTCGATACAGAGGATGGAGGGGAAGATTAAAATTCGCCCGGAAACCTTTTTGTGTTATCGGTGAGGATTTCTAAAGGCCTGCCAAGCTGCACGGCAAAATTATTTTTTAAGGCTGTAAATGAGGCTTACTGGAGTACATTTTACAGGAAATTTCTGCTTCAAAATTTCATGCACTTGCTGTTTTGCTGCTTTTAATAATTTATGAAATGTATTATCAATTTCTGAGCGAAAATAGTCAAAGTAAATCCAAATCCAAATTTTTGAATGCATCCTTTTATTCATCAAGGATGCATTAAAATGCTCAAAAGTGACAGTAAAGACATGCAATGTTACAAAAGATTTCTATTTCAAATGAATCCGAAAAATAAAATGTATCACAGTTTCCACAAAAACAGTTTTCAGCATTAAAAATAACCAGAAATATTTATTGAGCAGCAAATCAGCATATTAGACCCTCATGTGACACTGAAGACTGGAGTAATGATGCTGAAAATTCAGCTGCGCATCACAGAAATAAATTACATTTTGCAATCTATTCACATAGAAAACAGCTGTTTTAAATTGTAATAATATTTCACAATTTTTACTCTACCTCTTTTATTGTACCTCTATCTACACAGAGATTAAATGCATGCCTGTATGCATGAAGTCACTTGCCAAATGCATGTAAATTTGCATATTTTCTATCACATCAATATTTTATATGCTTGTACATTTAGCTTGATCAGTTGCTGTTGTATTTTTCAGACGTCATGGTGCTGATCGCCTCGATCTCGGTTTTGGCCGCTGGGACGCAGGGGAATGTGTTCGCCACCTCTGCCATCAGGAGTCTACGGTTCCTCCAGATTCTCCGGATGATCCGCATGGATCGGCGCGGGGGAACCTGGAAGCTCTTGGGATCTGTGGTCTACGCTCACAGCAAGGTAACCGAAGATGATAAACACTCCTGAAACTGTTCAGCAACCAGTGACACTTCCAATATGCTCACGTAAATCTCATCCCACATTCTGGCATTCACGATATTCACTGAGGGACTTTCATGAGAGATAAAGGTCTATTGGCTATATATAAAGCAATTCATTATGCTCATCAAGTCAACCCTATTTACTTAATTAATACATGCATCTGGTCTTATTTTGCACATATCATTAGAAGTAAATGCAATTCATGGTAATATCCATGCAAAGTTTAAAGTCAACATGAAATCAGTGTTAACTTTCTTAATTCATGTTCCTAGTCTTATTGTGAAAGATGCATCAATACACATTGTTCCAATGGAATGTTAATTTTGAGTGTTACATTTGAATGGGAGTGTTACTTTTGAGTGCTGCTTTAGAATGGGATTGTTACCTTTGAATCAGAATGTTACCTTTGAATGTTATGAATGTTATGAAGATCTTATTATGGATGATTTATCAATGCATGTTGTTCCAAATTGATCTAAATTCAAAATGTAGCAAAGCATCACTTTTTCAGCTTCAATATCCTGTCTCGTGCAAAAGTATGTCATATTATGTACATTTTTCAGTTGCAAATGTAATTTCATGTTATTTTAAAACATATTTTGAAGTCTTTTGATGCCCTCAAACAATGCAGCTGAAGCATGAATCAACAATATACAAACTCAATTTCCAAACTGCAAAGACCCATTTCAGTTGCCCCTAAGAAATATTGCACATAGCCCAAATATGATTTTGAGAGGTTTAATGTTGTTCTGGCTGCTCCATGAGGCCTTTTGCTGTGCAGATATTGAAGATTGAAACCACAAGAGTCGTTCTGTCATGTGTCATTTCTCAAGCTCAACATTTCCTGCTCGTTGTTGAAGTGGGTTTGAGAGGTCAGATGCTCTCGTGGAATGGATCTAATGGCGTATTTTTGGCTCGGTGTGGCTGTGTTGAGGAGAGGAGGAAAAGGCCAAAGTGGGGGGTGAAGCTTAATGAGACATCCTGAGGAAGTGTCAGCTGGAGGTTTGCGATCGATAAGTCTTGGCAAGATATAAACTCGTACTGTAAATGCAGGGCACACGGTCACAGATGGAGAACTGACAGGAACAAGACAGGCAGAATATTACATTTAATGCAAATTACGTTGTAATCATCGGGTGTGCTTTGAAGATTTAGTAAAAATTGGCAAAGTTGAAAGAACCTTTTGCTAATGTTCCCATTTCACATTTCTGAATGTTCCCTGAACCTTTACAGTGTCCAGGTTGTTTTATGTTTTTAAAACATTTTTCTTGGTTATTTGAATGTTACAAAGCAATGAAATGTTACTTTTGAGTGTTATTTTTGAATAAGAGTGTTACATTTGAATGTTGCTTTTGAATGGGAATGTTATTTTTGAATGGGAGTGTTACTTTTGAATGTTAATTTGTAATGGGAGTGTTACTTTAGAGAGTTACTTTTAAATGCTAGTTTGGAATGGGAGTGTTACATTTGAATGTTGCTTTTAAATTGGAATGTTAATTTTGAGTGTTACTTTGAAGGGGAATGTTGCTTTTGAATGTTATCTGAACGTCTGAAACAAGTAGTAAGTAATAATGTTTCAAATATGCAATTAAGATGTTTTTGTGGTAACGTTTTGAGAACGTTATTAAAGACCAGGGTGGCCAGCTGCATAAACGTAGTCAATATGTTAAGACTGAGTCTTAAGAACTAGTCTGAGGAACTCACAGTTGTTCATGGTTTTCAGATTCAAATTACCCAATCTATGTTTTTATGTAACTGACTGCATCTTGCGTGATTCCTCAGCAGTTTTGTGCTCTGTGAAAACATACGGGGAACATCATCTGTTGTCCTGGTGATGAAAACACATTTTCTCTAACAAACGGATGCATTATAGAAATTGCATGTTCACAGTAAACATGCTGAAATATAAATGAGTTTTAAGGGAGTTGCGTGCTAGCAGTGTGATGTGAGGAAAGGAAAGCCGTCTGTGAAATAGCAGCATTAGTCTGATTAAATAATTCATGCCGAGTATATTAATCGAAAGAGGAAAACAGGTTATTTATGTTGTGTTGTGAGAAAAATGAAGACCTGATGATATGAAATTCTCAAACAAATAAACTTACGCCACATTCATAACAAAATGAAGTTTGGGGTCAGTGAGGGTTTTTTGAAAGGATACACTAAATTGATCAAAGTGACAGTAAAGACATTGATAATGTTACAAAAGATTTCTGTTTTAAATAAATGCTGTTCGTTTGAACTTTCTATTCATCTGTGAATCCTGAAAAATAAAATGCATCAAAAATATTGTGCAGCACAACTGTTTTCAACATTGATAATAATCAGAAATGTTTCTTGAGCAGCAAATCAGAATATTAGAATGATTTCTGAAGATCATGTGACACTGAAGACTGCCGTAATGATGCTGGAAATTCAGCTTTGATCACAAATAAATTGCATTTTAACAGATATTCACATAGAAAGCTATTTTACACTGTAATAATATTTCAGAATATTACTGTTTTTACTTTCTTTGACTTTTTTTAATGCAGCATTGGTGAGCAGAAGAGACTTCTTACGCCTTACTGTTTGCTCATTTCTCTTGTTCACAGACTAAAATGAGATTTTTGTTATTGTGGCATCGACTGTTTCAGATATTCCTGCTCCTAAACAAAGTAAACCACACTCCTTCCTTTCTAGATGGTCAGTTCTCGGCCAGATTAATCAGAGAAGTGGATTAGACTGCAGTCAAGAGTCTTCATTCATTCAGGTGCCATCATGAGTTCAGCCTCGGGCGATGTCTCTCAAAGGCAAGAAAGTGGGCGATGCGCTGACGGTGCATTTTTCAGTCTAAAATGAGTCGCAGTGGCATAACGTTCCAGCGTCTGAGTTTGAGTGGTGTCCCATTTCGGAAGATGCATTTACAGGAGCAAAGAAACTCTCATGCTGACAGAGAAAGAACTCGGAAGTTGTTTTCTTTGGCTTGTTTCAGGAGCTTGCTAGTGTTGAGATGTTCACTGATTGTGATTACAGTAGTGAGTGTTCACATTATCATTGTTAACTAAAACTACAACTATTAAACCATTTTTGTTCATTGAAATAAAGCTGAAAAATATATAAATATTATATGAAAAACTTATTTCAGTTTTCATTTAGTTCAAGTAGAAGCACTACAATTACTAGCTGTCAATAAAATAAATAAAAGCTAAAACTGAACTAAAACTGAAACTGAAATAAAAATAAATTAAACCTAAATAGTAGGCTAATATAAAAAACAAAAACAAATAAAAAAGACAAGAGCACATAACACAATTACTAAAAATGTAATGAAAACTGAAAGTAGAAACATAAAAGCTAATTTAAAAACTATAATAGTTAATAAATAATGCAAATATAACTGGTTCTCATTATTTCAGTTTCATTGAGATACTATTATAGTTTTTATTGATATTTTGAATTATATTTACTCTTTTCATTTTGATTTTAGTTCAAATTTGGGTAATTTTGTTGTTTTTGTCATTTTTATTAGTTTTATTAAAGAATATCTATATAGTTTTCATTTTTTTTATTTCAATTTATTTATTTTAGTACAGTACATCAGGATTAACTAAATGGAAATAAAAAATGTTGCCTTCGTAACTAGCTGAAATAAAATTTTAAAAATTCAGGTTTTTATATTTTATTTTATTTCAGTTAAAGTTTATTTTATTTCAAGTAACAAAAATTGCTTTATGGATTTGGTTCTAGATTTAGTTGACTATAATATCCCTGCATCATACCAGTGTTATTTTAGTGTAGTTTTTATTTCAGTTTTAGATGTAGTTTATTTTATGTCATTTAACAAAAATGTACGTTTTTATGATTTTAGTTTTAGTAACCCGCAAAAGTGCATCACACTTTAGCCAATAGTAAAATTGGCATTTGCAAAACCAAAAGTTAAGCATAATATTACGCAACTACACTGTATTGCCACTTTAGTGCATCATCCTCATCATCATCATCATCATTCATGGGTTGTTGACTTTTAAACAGGCAACAAACATCAGAGAAAACACTTGATACTAACATTTCTTGATGGTGTGTTTAACAGGAACTGATCACCGCTTGGTACATTGGCTTCCTGTGTCTGATCCTGGCCTCGTTCCTGGTGTATCTCGCTGAGAAGGAGGATAACGAGATGTTTGAGACCTACGCCGATGCGCTCTGGTGGGGTCTGGTAAGCCCTTCGCACTAACAAACCTGCTTGAAGTCACGTGGCGTGTCCACAATCTCTCATAATGCGGTCTGAGATCGATATGATTTCATGAGCAGATTGCATTCGAAGATGTGTTTAACTCGCTACTTCATTCAAACACATTTATGGACTGATGAACACCATTTGTTTTCTTGCACTCGGCGTTCTGTGAGTGTTCTGGTGTGGAAGCGCTTCTGCATTGCTGGGTTTCATATTTTCAGCTTTATTATAGAGTTAATCAGCACTCAGGGTAGATTCTCGATCAGAGTCAGCGCTGGCGTGATTCCTCTGGAAATGAACTCAAGGAGATCAGATAGAGCCACAGCTGAAGTTTGCACACGGGACTCTGTGAGGATTATTAATTATGCAGTGATGTTTATCGCTCGTTGAGTTTGATGAGATGCTATTTCAGAAAGATCACAGAGGAATCATGAGTGGATGGAGTCCGTGCTCTTGCATTTAATGACAGATCTTAATATTTATTTTTCCGATTTGCTCTTTGTGTGAGCTGTTCTGTTTAAATCATTTTCGACAATAGTGACCTTTGATAAAAGGACTTTGTATTATTTGTTACTTTATTTTGACTGACTGATTAATTAATCAGTTCCTTTGTATGTTAATATTAGGGTAAATCATGATAGAAAAAACAAACAAAAGAATATTATATTATATATTATATTATATGATATTACATTACATTATATTATACTCTTATGTGTATATACATAGCGACAAGTGACAGCAGAACAAAATCTGTATATTAATATATTTTTATTTATTTGTATATGTATGTATATATATAGAGAGAGAGAGAGAGAGAGACATGCACACAAATAAATAAAAAATATAATACAATATATTTATTTTAATAATATTTAATATAATACATTTATATTTTATATATATTTATCTGTACATACATAAACTTTGTGTGTGTGTGTGTCTGTGTGTGTGCTTGCGTGCGTGCGTGTGTGTGTGAGCGAGTGTGTGTGTGTGTGAGCGAGTGTGTGGGATTCGAGAGGAAATGAACAGATAGAGTCGAACAGGCTTTTAATGGAGTGGAGAGAGCAGACGCTGAATTAGATCACTGCAGTTTACATTTACATTTAGACATTTAGCAGACGCTTTTATCCAAAGTGACTTACAAGTGAGGACAATAGAAGCAATCAAAATCAACAAAAGAGCAATAATATGCAATAGTTTATTATGAATATAACAATCCCACTGGCTGCTTAATGCGCTTTTCTTCATAGCAGTTCTGCTTTAATGTAAACACATCTGTGAATTATGATTCATAATTTCGGATTTATTGGAACCGAAGTTTAAAATTTGCATAATGGACTATAAAGGTACATTATAACGCATATCTTTTCATAAATACTTGTAACCAAAGTCAAAATGTATTGTAATATTTGCAGCTTCATTGTAACATGTATAATTTATGGAAGCCCGTTTTGGCTACATAATAATAAAAAAAATAAAATAAAAAGCTAATTGCGACTTTTCATCTCACAATTTGTGATATAAACTCAAAATTATGACTTTTTTCTAGCAATAGCAAACAAAATATTTAATAACAAATAAAGTAAAATAAAAAAAAGGTAATTGCAATTTTTTATCTCACTATTCAGAATTGCGAGATATAAACTCAATATTCTGAATTTTATTCTTACAATTCCGAGTCAAATTTCACAATTCTAAATGAATGAATGAATAAATGAATAAATTATTCATTCATTCAATACTAAATAAATTACAAATTAAATAAAAAATGTTATTTTATTTAATCAAATAAATAAATAAAAAATAATAAAAAATAAAAAAGGTAATTGCAACTTTTTATCTCACAGTTCAGACATTTTTCTCTTCATTTCTGAGAAAAAAATCACAAGATACAAACTCAGAATTGCGAGGAAAAAAGTGGCAATTAACTTTATTTATTTTTTTATTTCTTGGCAAAAACAGGCTTTCATAGAAATTAGTTGTTTGCCATGGATTTTAATGAAATATATGTTCTAAAGGTGTAACAATTCATAGATAAGTATTATAAATGTGATTACAGTTATTCATGAGATCATACAGTGAATTTTAAGGTGCA